TTTTCATGAGAAAAGGCTTTATTGTAAAGTGCAGATTCTTTACCAGCTTACTTGGAACAGCGTCTATTATACAGACCTAGACCGCTTGAAATAATCACTGTTATTTTACACTAAAAGTATAAAACTGGGCACTAAAACTGGTTTGTTTAAAACTTTGCCTGTGATTTGTAATGAAGCCTGAAAACTCGCGTGTTTCAGTACGTACCTGCTGGCAAGAGTTACCAGACTGCGCTCTGTACTTGCAGTCAGAACTCTTTTCTGGTAGGTACTGTAGTCCTAACTGCAGTCGATTTTGACTCTTGACATCAAAGAAGTGCCTGTTCTAATGGTGTCTTTGATCTTCACCCCTGTGAAATTAGCACCAGTTCCGTTAAACCCTGGGCACACTGCCAAACGCTGATGAGCAGCAGAGGGTATGGGATGAGATGTAGGAAAACTATTACCATTTGTGAAAATTCCATACATTTTCATGAGAGGTCTTAAAGCTCTGCCACCATTCAGCAAGAGCACGTCCTTCAGCTGATGGCAGTGCTGTTTCTCGAGCTGCTGTGTGGTTATGTACAACAGATTTCGTGCATGTGTTGATCACTAACGAACTTGATGTTTTGAAACTGTTCTGTTTGGAAAGTCAGTAATTTTATTACAATCAGAAGAATAGTTTTGTCATTGCCGGCCATTCCAAACTGATGTTGATGAGGCGCAGTTCTATTTCAGATGCATGTGCTTTTTTTACTACCTGGCAACTTGGAGTTCTGCTACTGGTTGTAAATCACTGACTGGGCTTTTGCATTGGTGGGGTTGAAACTTGTGCCATGTTCTCTCAAACAACCAGTGACCTGTTGGATTTCTTAAAACAACAAAGTCCCCTGGTATTTTCAGGTCTTCCTGTATTACCGTTTCTTTCTCCTGTCGATGGTTTTGTTGCAATTGGGGAAGGATTTTTTTGTTTTATGTTTTATTATCAACAAGAACATTATAGGAGCACGAACGCTTTATGTAGGGTTGTGTGTGTCCCAGGGGAAGGGGAGAAAAGCGATCTTTACCATCGCAGCTCAAAGGAGGCTTCCACGAATTCCTGGGTAAATCTGTATGTTCATTTTCAAACACCTTGGAGCAAAGCCCAGCCCTCTGTTGTAACAGCCAGTATTCTGCCCACCAATCAAACCAATAAAATACAAACTAAATTAGACCTGCTGTGACTGGAAGCAAAACTATTGATAGAAATGGATTTTCATGGATCTCGGTAAGTACGTGTAACTGTTTCTTTGTTGCACTTTGCTCTTTCATGCTTTGCTTGGCCCACTGTTACCATTAGCCATGTTGCAGCTATTTATTTCCCTAAATGCAAATCAAACCACAGTTTTTTGCATCAGATTTTTAGCAAAACTCAACAGTGTCCCAAGTACCAACCCTTAGGGAAGGACACTGCCTGTAACATGTGCGTTTGCTAACGAGAAGGGGCAGCCAAGCTCAGATCTAACCAGCAGGGGGGTCTTGGTGGGAACAAGCCCAAGGCATCGAACAGCCTGAAGGGAGGAACAGGTGGTGGTCACAGGGGGAGGGCACAGGGCAGAACACAGTTGAGCAGCTGGGCACTTGGTTGGGATTAAATATTTGATTATTTAAAATTCCTCCTTCTTCTGTCCCTGTTTTCGCTCTACAGCAGCGAACAGCAGCAACGCTCCCTTTGCTGTCGTTACTGCAACACGCTGCAGATAGGAGCGTTAAGGAGAGGCTCTGTGCTCGCCTCAGCTTGGCTCTCTCTCCCTTCCGTGCCTGCACTGGATGACAACTGACGCTGGCATTTTGAATCTTCAGATTCCCTTCTCAAGAATGGATGCCTACGAATAACATTATTTATAGAAAAGAAAATTAATTTTAGATGGAATTATTTGAATGAACGAGTCTTTACACGAAATTCTTAGCAGAATTATCACATTATCTTATCTGATGCCCTGATTGCTATATTTAGATAGCACACGGCAAAGATCTAGTTCAAATTCTGAAGTATTTTTAGCACAGTGTTTTTAGATGCTTTCCTGTGTTCTTCCAAAGCCATAAAAAAAAAACAACAACCAAACATTTTTTTACTGGCACTGAGAATGGACAGTCTTCAACAACACAGCAGAAAAAAACAGGGTTTCGTTCTCCCTGAGCGCACACATGCTTAAGAAGTGTTGATTGATTGTCAAAGGGCCCTAAAAAAAAATAAGCCCTTCCAAATCCCACCTAAAGGGACGGGACAGATGGCTCTACGAACAGCACGGACTCTCCAGTTGCCTTTAGAAGTAAAAACAATCTTCTGTTTACTTGTGGTGAAGGCACAGGAAGAAGTTGTTTATGTCATATGGGAATGTTTTTTGAGTATAACAAACTAAATGTGCCTTCTAAAAGTAACCATACCCCTCATTTATTTCGATGTGCAGGTTCCTGGGCAGTAATTTACGTATCATACCAGTTCATAATACTGCTGAAGCTGTGAAGTTAATGCTAACTATAGCTAAGGTGAGTCTGGTTGCGTGTACATAAAGATATTAGTTCTTCAGAAGTATATGAGCCAGGAAAAGCCAAAACCAGTAAAGTATTTATTTTTCCTTAATGGAACTTTTTGGGTCATATTGACCACAATCTATGTAATCCACTGAGGTAGGACTGTTGCTCTGGTGCTTTAGCTGAGTCTTTAAACTACTGTTAAAGGTAACTTTAAAAGCTCTTAACAGCACCTGTGAAGACAAATTAGGTATGTAAGAGCTAATCCAGCTCTTCTCTACCACGGTTAAGTTAGGACGTCTTCATTTACTAGTGCAGAACCAGCACGAGATCTAAATCTGTAACGACTTCAACTCAAAGTAAAAATGCCCAGCTGAAAACTCCAGCTCCTTGTGGATACAAACTAGTATATTATTTCTACAGCTTCATCAGTGTAATTTATCTGTTTATCTGCAACGTATTTCATATGCATCGACACTTTATTGATTATTTACTGAACCTCTTTAAAGAATATTTTTCTTTGGCAATTCTAACTTAGATACTAACTGTAACAGTACTAGCAGCATCCCATGCCCAAAAATAAAAAGAGCAGCACGTTAGGAATCACAGGAATCAGGTGTGAATTTACACTTTATCCTTTCCTGAAGTGGGCATCTCAAAACAACGAGCATTAACCTATTTGGAGCACCCCTAATTTTAAAAGTGTGTAAGCTACATCTCACTTATTAGATGGCAAAAGTTGTTAAATACTTATTTCAATGTTGAACATTGTACTTAAAACTTTTTATGGAATCTACTGGTGTTGGGCCTCGTCTCCTAATACAGCATTAACCCAAGAGCTGTTGAGATTGCTGCTGACCCTACAGACTTGAATGCGCTTTTCTGCTTTTTCAGACTGTTTACCCCAAGCTCCAACAGGAGAGCCCCGTGAGAAGCGGTGACAGTACACACCACAAACCTGTTGGTTGCCGTGACATTATTTCTCACTGATGCCGTGCAAAGCCAGTTTAAGGAGCTCCTCTTTTGCCAGAGAATCCCTCACTGGGATGGTGAAAAATGAACAGTTTTGCCCCATGTGAACAGGCCCGGCCAAGGGAGCAGCACCATCCGACTAATCCTGAGCTACCCTACCCAACCCCTGCTGAAATGCTGCCCAGACAGCCAGCTGCAATGCTGACAGGGCTGCTTCTCTTAGCGCTGGTCTTGCATCTAAAGGATACCTCAAATCGCCTCTGGGTACATCATTCCTGAGTAGCTACTTCAGAAAACATGATTCTGATTACACTGCTGAATAATTTTACATTTGTGCCATTTGAAAAAATCGTTGAATATTCTATTACCTTCAAGAGCTACTGTGTCGTACTCATGATATTTCTCTTTCCTTTAAGGTAACTTCCAAGCCACGAGCAGATGATATTCGTTACCAAATGGCAATGACAAAAGCCCAAATAATAGAAAACAGTCCAGTTTGGAAGATGCTTCAGGAGTACCAGTGGCACTGTAATTAATTTAGTATTTGGGATTTTTATTCATAAATAGAGTGGCTACATTTTAAACAAAATATAGCATGTTCTTAAAAATATAGTTACATTTCAAAAGACTATATACAACTTATGCATTTGGAATGAAAATTGATATTAAGTTACTACACAGTGAAAAATAGGACACATTCTACCAAGTGGGCATTCTAAGAAAAATAAAAGTGGTTTAACGGCACTATTGAAAGCCATCCTTATTTTTAACTTTATTCTGAACTTATGAGCTCATCTGTTTATACTAATTTCCCCAAATATTTAATATATCTTAAGGAAAACTTTAAAGATGATCAAAACAATTCCAAAATACAGGTTTCTCATACATGAACAGGTATCTGTATGAAATATTAAACAGTGCGTTTCTTAAACACAAGTGTTACCTGTTGTGTTACGAAGTTTTAACATCTTATTTGGCTCAAAGTTGATGTATTTTTCTTTAAACCTGGTTTCTTTTGCCATGGTGTTTCTATTATTCACCTATAGCTTACAGCCCTGTTTGTAAATATAGAAGCTTGTTTGTCCCCATTAAAAAGTGCTAATAAAAATAACTTGTGCTTAAACAGTGCTTTTTAATTAATGCTTCTCCAGTCACCTTATAAAAATCTCGTAATTCACCACACAGTCAACAACTATTATCTAACAAATGCTGAAAAACAGAAACATAAATGCCCAACCATACCTCCTTGCCCCAGCATGAGAACAAAAAAACCCCCTTGTTTTCAGTTTCTAAACTGAAGAAAAAGCATCACGTTCTGAAAAGGAGCACTCCAGTGAAGAGGCCATCTCTGTGAGTCGCACACAACAACAGCAAAAGAAAATAAACACAGGACAGCAACAAGACGTAGGAAGCATTCGCAGTTCCAGAGGCCACTCTAAGTTGCTCTCATTTAAAGGCTGGTAGCCTCCTTTTCGACAAAAGTCTCATAGTCAAAATGGTCTTGTAAGAAGTGCGTTAATTCAAACACTGCAGCTGACCTAACTGTTCTCATCCGTTACAGCTTTTATTTTCACTTCAATGAGTTCTTCTACTCGAGCTAGAACACTTTCTATTAAATCAAATGTGAAGAGAGCCGACTGTAAAACCTGAAATGACAGAAGAGATTAATGTTATTTTTATTAGAATAATTTTTATCTTTTTTTTTACCCACTGTACGTGTAGATTTGTCTCCAGACTGAAAAAAAATTCCGCTACTTCTGAGTAACGCTGAAGGAAACACAAACTCACCTGAAGCTGCATTTCGGTTGTCATGGCAGGCATCTTTTCCCCACCAACAGTTACAGAACAAACTGCGTTAGAACTGTGTGCCTCTGGAGAAAAGAAATAACCAACCAGAGATCAGGCTGCTGTTTCACACCACTTTTAGAATGAAAAGAGCATTTAATAATTAGCATTTCTAGACAGTAATGGTTAAAAACCACACACCTCGGGATTGCCCAGAGGCCAGAAGGTGCTGAGCCACAGTTTGAGCTGGGTGCTGTCTCTACACCTTCTGTAACACGTAATGACTACAGGACTAAACAGGCAACCTCTGCAACTCAAAACAACTTTATAAAGCTAAAATGCTCCTTAAAAGGAAAAAAAATACTAAACCTGCTTATTTTTTGAAACATTTTTTAATATTTCTACATCCAAAGAGATAGTAGGAGGTTCTTTAGCCTGACTCAACGAATCCAGACATGAAGCATTTATTTTATGAAGAAAAGGCTGCAGGGTTCTCTGTTTCAGGGAGATAACTCGCAGCAGGCAAAAGACATCTGAAAACTGAGGGGAAAACCCTCTTGTATTCAGACCACGTATCTGAAATTCAACATAATGCTCACAAAGATTATGCACTGGGGAGAAAGGGTAAGCCATTTACTGTTCCGAGTTAGATGTTCTCCTGAACTCAAATCTCTTTACGCTTTGTCAAAGGCTGGAGAAACGTAATGGGGACTTCAAGAAAAAACTTCCCGATTCATTTTAAAGGATTCCCTTTAGAAAGACACCCAGGGGTTACTTCAGAAAAATTCCCCTTCTCTGCCTCATGCTTACAGAGTTTACAACAACAGAAGAGAACAGGACTAGGGGCAAAAAGCTGTACTGACGTTTTCGGCAGCAGAAGCAAGTTCCTTGGGCTGTCTTAATTATACTGGCGACCACAAAGGAACAGAGGAGCTGACATACACAGAGATCGCCTAAAGCAGCGACAGCTCTCAGGCCCTGTGGAATGTGTCTGCTTAACCCAGAGCACAATCTGATTCTGTGTGTCAGATTAAAAAAAAAAAAAAAGAAAAAACCAAACAAATCCAGAACGTAATCCTTCAGGCTTTAAGAGAGCACTTAGTTGCTGCTTCTCTTGTTCACCGCCCCACACCTAGCATGAAACCTAAGGGCTATATATTCAGAGCCTGAGATGCTCCTGTGTAACCTTAAAATCAAAAGTGTAAATGCAGAACAAGATTTGAAGGTCTTCGTGTGACATTCCCATCGGGTTTCCATAAGGTTTACAAATGTGATGGGAGATAAACAAGTTCAGATTTTCCTGACCAATTATGGAAATTATTAATATCAAATACAGCAACTACTGAATTATTATTTGAAATTCGGAATAGTGTCAACAGTCAAACAAACATGATCTACACAGCACTCACCAATTCTTTGTTTCCAAAGGGCTTCCAGAGTTTCTAAGTATGAACAAAGCTGAGGAAAGAAGAAAACAACTAACCTCTTCTGTTCTCTTTCTTATTCTTTATTTCTGCTTCATAGTGCGCTTTTGACATATTGAGTCCTACGTGCAGTGGTTTTAAAAAATTTTGCTCGATCTTGGCAAGTGCGGTCCATACACCAGTCTGTTCAAACAGAACCGAGAAGGTTACACATTAGTTTCAGTGAAGCTTGGCAACGCTAAGTTTTCGAGCACAAGGTTTGGGAGTAGTCTTTGTAACCTACACTTCTGCGCTGGGAAGAAGAAAGAAAACAAAAAAGAATTTAGACTCCTGCCTTTAAGCATGAATAGCATTGTGATGGATGTTCAAGCTCCTCTCCTTCTCTCTTACATTATTTGTTGAATATTGGGAGGATGAAGCAGTCAAAAAAAAATAGGGGCAAACTTAGTATGTAGGCTGACAACTACACCAATGGAAACGCCCACTTTCGACTTGTTCTTATAAGCAAAGCTGAAAGGATCTTGGTATGTGGGAGGGGGGTACTAGCCACTTTCTCAGGGCAGAATCTCTAGAGTGAGGAAACAGCAGTTGTAGATTCCTCTAAGATAATTCAGCAGCAAAATGGAACAAACATTTCGATTCATGTTCCTGAATTAACACCGTATTGTGATGCCAAATGAAAGCTCTGATAAATGTCATGCTCCCAAATACACGAGGGTCTTGTCTATATTGCATCCAGTTTAAAAAACACTGCAGGAATGTTACTGGATACGCTACTCCCCCATCCTTTGGCACGGTTGCCCAAGTGACCATGAACACGGGTGAAAGAAGGAGGTTACAGTGATGGCACTCAGGAAGCAAGAGATACAAGGAAAAGATGCTCAAAAGCAAGGCACAAGAGGAAAACTCCTCTGCCTTGGCACCTGGTAAGCTTGCAGTTACAAAACTGCTGTAGAAGGAATCAAATACAAAAGCAGTCTTTGTGTCTTCAGATACGGGAGCCATTTACAGGACTCCTTTCCTCAGGCAGTATCCTCAAAGGGCAGAGTCAGGACGATAAAAATAAGAATCCTCAATGTTAAATGGTATTGTTGATTACAGCGGAAATTTCACCAAATTTTAATGCGAAATGGCACCAAGTTAACCGGTCAAATAAGAAAACCAGTAATTACTTCCAGTAGAATGGGACTAAAAATGAAGAAATAACTTTCCAGAAAAATACTGATTTTTAAACTTGATTAATGAAAGTGCTTGTTATGCAGCAATCGAAACATCTGAACTGACATGAAAAGAGGCAATTTCTTTCTGCCCCGCTTGCACTATATGAAGGGAGACAGGGAGGAAGTCAAGAAGAACTGGCAGGGCTTAAATTTAAAGGAAAACTTCAGAAGAGGTGATGCTATTTTCTCCTCAAACTGTAGGGGCATTCTTTACGCCAGGTACTAGACAGCACGGTTACCGCAAGGCTGTGCTACTATGTATACATTTTTAATAATAATAAAAGAGGAATTCTCTCTTTTCTTTCAAAGCTACGCATTTACATGAAACTGAGTGAACCATAATGAGCACTTAAATAGTAATCACTCCTTAAATCTGAGAAACAGGTACAGTCTATCAATACTAACTAATTACAGAGTAAATTAAAAAAGCCCCAGCTGAAAGCTATTTGTGCTATTCATTTTCGTTACAGTTTTGGTAATCAGTGCAAGCTGTATTATTACTGTTCTCCTTAGACCAATAACCTCACTAGGCACTTACAAGACTCGTATTCACAGATCTCAAAGTGCTCTAAAGTAGATCAGAATTTTGTCTGTATTTTAGAAAACAGAAAATGATACGCTGAAATCCGTGACTCCAAATCATAAAGCCAAGCAACTGGGGGACAAAACACTTTAGGTTACTTATCTGCTGGTTAGAATACTCACCTGACCATGATACTGCTTATTCAAGAAAGGCTTTACTCTACTTTAAAACTGAAAAGCAAATTTTTCTTTAAACTGTCACTAATTTAAACAAACATTTTAATGCAAAAATCAAAGCATTTAGTACTAAGGAGACAGGTGATACTTGTTCACTACACGATGCAGTGGGTAAAAAGCTCCTGGATCGCCTAAATTAGAGGAACAGCGGAACACAGTGATTTGAAAGAGTCAACAGAAGCTGCATTTAGTATTAGAATAAGCAGCCGTTTGGTAGCGGAATGTAACCGGAAAACTAAACACAAATAATTCCACTGGCTCCTCAGCGCTGTAGCGACACAGTCCAAGTCAGAGCACTTACGAATCGGCTGCTAGAATATGAAATCCACCTATCGACCCAGCTATGAAATTCAAACAAGCTCCCCCTTGAGTCTCCAGGAACACATTTCCACCAGCCGCAGGCGGACAGGACCGACTGTACGCACAACCAGCAGGTCCACCACAACATACTACATTGAACAGCCACACAGCAGTGAGCAACAAACACACTTTGCACTCATCTACCAGTAACCGGGGTTGCTGACTGCTTCAGACAGGAAAGAGCTGAACAAAACAGAGAAGGAAGAGGTGGGGATTACAACTAAAGCTCTAAAATCCTGCTTTAAACTGAGGCAGCCTAATATTATACGGGTAAAATACGTTAGGGTGGTTTCGATTTTTTAAATATTCCGTAAAGTTTAAATATGCGGAGTATTTCTGAAACAGCTACATTCAAACATCCACAGACAGGAGGAATGAGGGTAAATGGGTTTCCCTGTAATAACCACAGAGGTAAACTGCAGGGCTGGGCAGTTAACTTTGTGCATCAAGCGTTCCAGGCTCTTTCTGGAAAAGCAACAGAAAATGGGAGAGGGCTGGCCGTTCCTTTTGGTACTTCTGCAGGTGGATCTTACAGACAAGAATTTTTTGATGCTAATACCTAGAGAAGCTTTTAACGTGTACCTCCCATGCACCTGCACAGTTGCTGTAAATGCATTGTTTTGCACAGCTAAAAACTATTTAAATACAATTATTAAACACTTCCTGAGAAATCTTAATACTACCAACGTTTACCACACTGCACAAAAAGTATTTTGCCTAAAGATGAATAAAATGGATCTCTTGAACTGCAAAGATTTGTATTACTATTATAAAGAAATCCACTTGGGGGCTTGAGCGATACCATCTAATAAATAAGCAAGAGTAACAAATATTTTTTCCTCATGGGAATACTTGATAGAGATGTGACTTTAGGTGACATACTCTAAAACTATGGGCTCGGACCAGAGTTCATCAGGTGGAGAAAAAGGATTAGCTTGTTTACAGTCAGAGTTCAGTACAAATGCCATCAAATTTCATCAGAATAAAGTAACACATCACATATCTCCCAATGCAGTTAATAAAAGCATCACTTCTGGATTACTGACCACTGCAAAGAAAAATGCAAAAACCCATGGTTTTGTATCAAGGATAACAAGTGCTCACACGAATCCAGCTCTCCACCCTCAGCTAATCAATCATTTTCAAATCAATTAGTACTTACTTGATTATCACTTTCACAGTCCTTAATGACTAAGTATCTCAGTAGATTTAGTGACGCCATAATCCTGCAAATTAAAAAGGTACTAGTCATCATTTAGATTTATATTTCAGGGGTAATAATTGAAATTGCCCATTAGCTGGACATCCTAAAAACATCTATTTGTACAAAATGCAACCACCCATCTGTTGAGCAACACAGCTTAGTCTAGAGCACCAGTGTGCAGTTAATGTCCAGGTAAAATTAAAACTGTCAGCAGATTGGAGAAAGCTGGTGATCGTGAGGGAAAGTTTTCTCTGATGAGATAGAACCTTATAGAATGTGTAATGTGCACCACTGCTGATCCAAAGCTGATTTGAAACTAGTGTGACAGCTTGCTTTATTCTGTGTTGAATTTTTACTTTTGAGTGCTTTTTAAAATACGCTTTTTGCCTGTGTTTTGCTGTACCTTTTAGCAGGAACTGTTTGTTGTTTTTTTCCAGATCAACAGTACAATTACAGATCCTACATCTGGGTTCTTAAGTAGTGACGTGTCCATCGGGACACTATCACCCTACTGATTTACAAGCCCAACCTTTACTCAACCTACTGGAAAAGACTTGTCCCACACAGGAGATTTTCAGAGACGTTCCAGTTTTATTTTTATATTACTTAATGCAAGCATTTGCTGTTCAGGTGGCTCTGTACCCCCACTGCTGAGATACTGCATGCCCAGCAGCAATCTGGGAAACAGCCTTGAAAAGGCTGGGTGCTGCAAGTTCTATCCGATAGTTGTTATTCCCCTCGATCACGTAAGAGAACATACCACATTTCTTTTGTTCCTCCAATTTTGTTCCTCTCCAATTGTCTGCAGAAAGCTGACAAACCATACATTCCTGAAGAAATAATGCTTGACCAATTAGTTCTGTCATTTGACATCTGAGCCTTATACCCTCAGGGAATGGAGGAGAAATTCCTTTCTTTTTGTTAAAAATCAATGTAACAGCATTGCGACATTCTTCTATACAGAGTTAGTTGAAAGGATGGTTGAAATAAGTGATCATTTCCATTCCTAGTTCCAAAAACTTAAGATACATTGATGCTGTCACCTCATTAATTACATGACAGCCTACCTCCCACTGCAGTAAGGGTGTTTGAAGTCTTTTTAAATGATTAAAGAAGGAGAAAAGCCTCTAACTGCGGTTACGACTCACCTATCGGAGTGTTGCAGAAGATCTGTCTCAGCACCTTCTGGAAGCAACAGCACTAAATCTAGAAGGGAGATCAGGTGATGTCCCGTAAACCAAATGTTGTCACGTGCCTTCTGAAAAAACGATGCAGAAAGTTTAGCTGAGTGCAAAATTTAAATCTTAAAGCCGTCTTAAACAAATCTTAAATAATTTAACAATAATTTGGGGAAAATGGAAATAGAAAAAAAAAGAACAAACACTGGAAGCAATATTTTCCAATTATTTCATGTGACAGAAGTATACAAACTAGTCTTTTCACAGTCCTCCCTACTTTGTCTCTCCGTGCCAAGCTGTTCTTTACATTTTCATCAGAATAGATCCTCCACCTCTTGTGGAGCATCAATATAGTTAATACTTGTTTACATAAACTTCACAAATTGTAGTAGGCACTCTCTTTTTTTTTTTTTTTTTTATTATTTTGGTATGGAACAATTAGCTGTCTTTAAACACCTGATCATCTTTAATAAGAAAAATAAAATTGTGACATTACTGTTACGAAATCCGTAGTGTCTCTGGTAAAGTTTTCTTTGCATATTCTAAACCCAGAAAGGGACTGGAAGGAAAACTGAGATTAGATAAGGAGACAAGAAGGGTAACTGTCTGTTAAGTCAGATCAGATGAGGGACCTGGAAAGATTAAGACTAGCTGGGCACAAAACCTAAGATGAAATAAATAGGTAGCGATAGGGCATTGTTATTGTTATGTCTACAGCAGAATTCTTTGCAACGAATCTAGAACACTCAAATTCATATGATGAAATTTTAAAGTTATTTGTCTTTTTGACAGCCAGGGAACTCTTCATGGTAGAAACGTATTAAGAAAAATCTGAAGCAGAATAGTCAAAAAAATAATCCGTAAGGAAATTTTGGGCTATACTTTTACCTGTTCCATTTTAGTGCAAGCCCTCCTGGGAACAGTTATCACCTTGTGCACCCCTGTTCATTCAATGTACAGGACAGATCTAATAAGTAGTAGTTCACTGTTTTCTAACATAATTTTGCTAGCATAAAACATGTGTAAATTTACTATATTGTCCTATCTGACAAAAGGCAGCATCCTTGAGAAGCAAATTAGGTTTGGAAAAGGCCCTAAGGAGTTTAAAAAAAAAAAAAAAGAAGTGAGAGTCAGAGAAAGGAGTTAATAATTTATTTTTAATTAATTTTTCCAACTTGCTGGTATAAATGATTATAAAATATGAGATTTAAATGGCTTTGATCTAGCTCAACCCTTTCTGATGAATTTAAGGTTTGTGAAGCACTCATAATATAGTGCTGACTGTCATCATAAAAACCAAGAATAAATTAATAATTCTGCCTGGACTGTAGCATTTGAATTATATTCAAGAAGTGAGGAACTGTGAGGATAAAACAAAAGACTGAGTAGTTCCTCTTTAAGAAAGAAGTATGTATTTTCAAGCACAGAAAAGGTAATAATAACTTCTTAAAAAAATACAGTAAGATTATGCAATTAAAAATACAACTGTAAAATTATAATGTAAAAATACACACGCAGAAAAAAGCCAAATTAATATTTTAATCATATAATTTCCCAATTCTATGTTTCTTTTCAAAGTGGATGTCTTGAATGCATCACTCAAAGCTTAAACTGTACGCATTTTCTCCATGTGATACTGATAAAATTTTGAGATGGCAACTTGTTTTTTAGTGGTAATAGCCTCACCGTTAATGATAAGTGAACCTGATCTTTTATATTTTTAATAATGTATCCTTCCACGCCAGCGTGGTTGCTTGTCTTCAGTAAACACCTTCAAACAAAACAAAACAAAACAAAAGGTATTATCTCTTCAAAGCTGCCTATATAGTTGGCTCGAAACTTAGACAACATTATGGCCTTATTCACTAAAAATAAGATGACTGTGTAACTGTTAAACACCGGCTTACATGACAGCTGACTTTATGTGAGGCACGTGAAACTCATTACTTATCCAAAAATTAACATAGTAAAATTAATTAAAAATAAATTACCAATTAGAAACTCTGTCAGAAATCATCGTATCTATGCAATTAAGCTGCAATAAGGCTGGTATTACACAATCTACAGTAACGTGGATGCATACCTGAATAATGTATATTTTCCCTCTGCATCAAACTTGTCTATGAACAACTGCAAAATACTTAAACTCTTCTTTCTCTAAAGAAAAAAAAAAAAGATGTTATCAGATTAATTCTAATTAAATAAATTCAGCCCTTAACTGATTCTGTACGTCACATTACATACCACATGCTCTATGGGACAAAGGGTCATAACTTTCACCAAATCCTGCAGTAGGACAAAAACATAATTCCTAATTAAATACCGATTATTACGTTACACCAACACTGACTAAAATCTACTCAACACATTAAAAAGCAAACAAACCCAAAACCCCACAGCCCACAAAACCACGCCCATGAAAGATTCTCATCAGAGAAATTCACATTAGCTTCAGTGGCTGAAATCCCCAGGCTGACACACAAGAATATTGTTCTCGTACTGTTGGGTCCAACTAAGAACGTAGTCGAGCAGCAGATTTGCAAGGAAAAGACAAAAATGAGCAAGTATCACCTTTCAGCGAAGATCAGTGCCCACCCGCTTCAGTGGCCTGTACATACACTAAGTGTATTTTAATTGTCACTGAAACTTCATGCTGCAGTGGGTAGAACAGACTGTAAATTCTGTACAGCAAGACACTGAAGGTTTCAATTTAACGACACAAGTGCATCAAGATTCAGTGGTATGCCCCCCCCCAAACACCTAGAAATTACTTATAATAAACTTTAAAGGCTTCTGTATGTTACTTCTTATTACCTGAGGTACGTTAATAAAATCTCTGAATTCTAAATACTGATGGAGAAGGCTATTATCTTCCATTCT